TTGATATCGTAACATTCGCGATATATAGTAATAATAACAGTACTTTGGTTGTCGGTGGAATACCAGAATTTTTTCAGTTTCCGAAACGTGACATCTCCACCGCACGCTGTAAGCGTATCATTTATATCTTCACATATGAAGTTATCAATGTCGTCCTTGGAATCGTGAAGGCTTTTTTAAATTTTATTTTTACCTGAAGCTGAATTCAATTCGTTTTAAAGGAAATAGTTCTTGTAATGAGAAATTGTTTTAAAATGTTTGAAATTGAATTGGTTTTCCGGCGAGTTGAGTTTCGGTGTAGCGGATCTCTATATTCGATGCTCCTATGTGATTCAAATTTTCAATCAATATCTTTTGAATAAAAAAGGATGATACATGTTCGCCTCTGGATTCGAATTTAAGTGCTTGAATTGAATTACCTCTTTGAAGGTGTGAAAGATGTCATGAACATTCGATGGTAAAATTCGTATCCACGCGTGGTTATCTAATACCTCATCTATGCATGTGCATTACTGAACAAGCGTGAGCTTAAAAAGGCTGTACTTCGGCCAATTTCCCTCACTGCATTTTAAGCACTGAGACGAAGGCTTCGTCAGCAAAGGATCAAAGGATGTATCACATGATAAAAAAATATTTTCATGCACCATGGAATTACGAAATGAATCTGCGAGTTTCCTTGTGAGTTTTGTTTTCATTTAGGACGAATCTGTGACCTCTGTTATAGCCAAAAATGCTGGAAAAGCTTTTATTCATGTAACAAAAATACACTGTTTAGTTACGACATTATACAAGGTATTCAAAAGGCTACGAGCATTTCCTTTTTTCTTTATTAGAACTTATGAATTTTTTAAGAAAACCCTCGTCCACCAATTTTTGAAGCTTTGAAGGAAATTTTATACTCACTTGCACGGATGAACGTGTTTCTTTACGCAATAAGCTCGCGGGGTGTTGGTAGAATTCGTGACGGTTAAGCAAACCCTCGTAGGTGTTTCGGGTTTGAATAGGTTTCGCTAATTCTCACAGCCCCACACGCGATAAAGTGAAGGAACGAGAGAAAGAGTCTTTTATTGCATAATTTTAACAAACAAACAAACAAACAATTGAAAAAACAAACCTGACACAACCCGCAAAACTTTGGCTGGAGCTGTCACGCAACAACAATAGTGTGACGGAGCAAACTTTGAGATTCTTATTCTTCCTCAATGATTAAGTATACAACGTTTTCTTTTCGTTACTTTTATCTGAGTCTCCTCTTTTTTATTTTTAACAATGTAGCGCAGTACAATCGATTCAATTTTATTTCTAGCTATGACAGAAAGCAACCTCCCAAGAACGGGAGAAGAACTGGAGGTGAAAAATGAGTTTCCAGCTACAGGTGAGAAAAAGCAACAGGGAGAGACTTCGTTATTGTAATTTTTTACTGTTTGTTAATTAAGTATATCTTAATTCTGGTGCACAATTTTTTGGATCACTTCGACTTGAAGGTTTTTAAGGAATCCACTAGATACGCCAGTATTAAAACGCCAGTTGTAATTGCACATAGTTGTAATCACTAACAAAGTTGAATATCTTCTCGGTAATTTCAGCGACAGAGGAAAGTCAAGTTACGTCAAGTGACGCTGAACTGGATGCATACAATGACCCTTTAAGAGGTAAGAAAACCAGGTGAAGTAAGATTGTTTGAAAGACGCCTCAGTGAAGTTTTTTTTTTCACAATTACATCAAAATTTGCTTATGTTCTGTGAAAAAGTTTTTGAGACAGCAAAAGATTTTTTTCTTCAAATTCAAACTCTGTTACCAATAAAATGACAGAGTAAAATGTATAGACATCATTAATTATTCATAAGCAATGAAGCGCCAAATTTGAACGCGACTTAGCTTTGAAGAGCCCTAAGTTAAAGAATGGGCCAAAATTGCCCTATTAGGCTTCGTAAAACTAATTTTTCTCAGTTTTAGAAGTGCTTACTTGTAAATCAACGCATAATATTTTGGATATGAACAATGTATCTACCATTTGCACCAAAAGTGAACGATATTTGCGTATTAAAAGTATTATACTTGTAAATTTGGTCATTTTTAATATGAAAGTCATTTGCGGCAAGAGAGAGCTGTTGGTACCCGTACACCCGTCAAAGTTGAGTATTTAAAAATTTGCAAACGGGTAACTTTTTGAGGCCGCTAAAAGAAAAGTATTTACGCTAACAACTTTTTGTCCCTTGCTGTTCAGTACATGATTGGCAGAAATTTTACGCAATTTCAGAATTCTACGGAGAAGAGGGGGCGTTTTTTCTCGGCCATATAAAACTTTCCTGTTTTTTATTATTATTGTTCATAGCTTTAAGCTCCTTTAACCTTAGAGCTCGTTTGCCACTATAAAGTTGGCATAATCCGTCAAGGGTCGTATCACTCGTTACTAAATCATTAACACTAAAACCTTAATGTTTTCAGGGATAGCGAAAGCATGTCTCGAGGAAGGTAACAAAGAATACAGACAAGGAGAAGCTAATAACGCGATAAACTCCTACACGGAAGGACTTCAAGTGAACTGCAAAGATAAACGGCTGAACGCCAAGCTTTACAGCAACAGGGCAACAGCTCATTTCCGTTTGGGTAACAATTTCATATGTAAACATATAAATCTGTCATGCAGCGTTACAAGATAACATCAACAAAAGAACAAATTGAGAAACTGCAGGAAAGTAGCGTAAAAACATAAATCGCCAGGTAGCGGATGAAAATTAAGCAAAGAAATGATCCTCGTTACATTTCAAGCAATTGTAATTTTTTAAGGCTTCTTTGTTGCAATTCCATGTGATGATCACTTTTTTAAACCTTATTTCCTGAATCTCATAGGAAACTACGTGGAATGTCTCGATGATGCAACAGTTGCCGTCCAATTGGAACCCACTTTAAACAAAGCTATTAAGAAAGGTGAGTTTTTCAGACGTAAGTCATCAACATTCTATTCTCGTCAAAAGAGGATTGTGTGGTTTGTGGCAGGTAAGGGCACCCCAGGTGTCAATTGTATCTGGTGTGTCAATGTCTGTCTGGGTAAAAAGTATAAGAAAATGTCAATAAGCTCTCAAATACCGCTGCCTGGTTAGTTCACGTTGTAGAGCGTCGGAGGTCGAGGGCTCAAGCCCGAGACCGGACCATCACCCTAAGTCTTAAAATATCTGAGGACAGTGTGCTGCCGTCTAAGCTGTGACTTCAGCAAATGGTTTGA